TGTTCAGAGAATGCAACAATATCGGCAATTTGAAGGGTTGAATCATTTATAACTTATCGATTTTTTTAAAATTTCAACTACAATTGCCAAGTGGCCTGAAAGTTTTTTTTTAATTCAAATGTTCAACAACAACAGATGCAATGTCTTGTGATTCAACAATCGGACGCTCGTAGAATCGAGCAAACACCTGAGAATCAGCTGTCAATCCAACAGTCTTTCTGATTGTCTCAATAGTTGCACCTTTCTTCGCTGCCAGTGAGGTGGCTACGTGGCGAGTGCTATGAGCTGAAAATATTTTGGTGTTAACCCCACATTCTTGTATGAATTTCTTAACCCAATTGCTCAATGTTTGTTTGGTGGCAGGTTCCTGGAATCTCTTGCATGTGATGAAAAATTGATTATTCGTACGTAATGACTCCGTCTTCGAAATGTACTCTTGTATTGCAGATGCTGTACACAACTCGGGATGATCAGGAAAAAATGGAATTTTTAATAAAGGTTGTTGTTCTCTATTACGCGTTGAAGTTTTCACCTGATCAGGAATAGGAATGTACAGAATTCCGTTATTGATAGAAATATTCTCTATCTTGATAAAAAATAAAGTCTGCATTCTTTGTGCCGTGATTAATGCAAACAGGGTGATGACCTTTTTTGTTAAACGTTCTAATGATAAAGTCTCATTCGGATAAAGTTGAGACAAAGCTCTAAGGACATCTTCATGATGCTTACACCTCTGAAATAACGTTTCAAAAGGGGGTTTTCTCCTAAGTCCTTCATGATAAAGGATAAAGCAGATCTGCAAGTATTGAGAGAGGCATATGATTGTACATCATTCATTCTTTGTGCGAGGAATTCCAACACCTCAGTAATCGAAGCTTCTAGCCAAGAACATTTCTTCTCAATGCCAAATTGCCACCATAACTTCCAAACCGAATCGTATTGTTTCATTGTACTTAGAGCAACCGAACCATAAACAACAGGAATAGCAGATTGTGGTGATCCTTTCTTCAAATACGCCTTCCGGACAATCTCGCGGCTACCAGGGTAAGGCTGTTGTGCAGTGGGTGACTCTCTCTAGAAGTAGAAGTGAGAAGGTCTTGGGAAGGTTGGAAATATATAGGATCACCTATGACTATTTCCAGGTATCTGGGGAACCACGACTGCGAAGACCAATATGGCACTACCACTATTCCCTCCGCTCTCTCGTCTAAAATCTTTTGTAAAGTTTGACTGATCAGGGAGAAAGGCGGAAAAGCGTAAAATTCGAGATTAGTCCAGTTGATTGTGAAAGCATCTACAGCTCAAGCCATAGGATCTCTTCGCCACGAGATGAATCTGGGACATTTATTATTTCTGTATGATGCGAATAAATCCACAGTAGGCCTCCCAAAAGAATTACAAATTTTCTGAAAAGCCCAGTCAGCAATTTCCCACTCGGTATCCGGTGGTAGTTTCCTAGATTCTGCATCAGCCTCTACATTATCTTTGGAACTAATATATGAAGCAAAAATCCAGATTTGTCTCTCTTCACACCATCGCCATATCTGCTGAGCTTCTTTATTCAAAGTTCTATGTTGCACACTACCATATTTATTTATACAAGCAATTGCGGTTGTATTGTCAATTCTAAGTAAAATTTGGCAATTTGAGTAATTATCCGCAAAACACTTCAGACCAAAGAAAGCTGCTCTCAGCTCGAGAACATTAATATGCAATGATTTCTCATCTGGAGACCACCAACCATTTGCACTCTGCTCGTTACAAAAAGCGCCCCAGCCTGACCCCGATGCATCTGAGAAAATTTCCAAAACGTAGGATGAATTTTTGATAGAAGCCCTGGAAAAACACACGTGATCCAACCACCATTGGAGTTCCTCCCTCACCACCGAAGAAATTTGTGTTTTACTAGCATAATTTCCACCTGATTCATTTAGAGCTGAAAATTTCTCACGTTCGAGATTCTTAGTGTATAAACGCCCGTACTCCATGGCAGGACAAGCAGCGACTAGCACTCCAGCTAGTTTCGCTAGGTCACGAATACGACAATACTCTTTACGTAAAAATGAAGAGATATATCCCCTAATCGTTGTGACTTTCTTTTCCGGCAGTTTGGAAATCTACTCCTGGCTGTTTATCAAGAAACCTAAAAATTTTATCTCACGGCTGGGCTCAGGTTAACATTTTTCCTTGTTCAGTATAAGACCTAAACGTTCCAAAATCGTCTGAGTTTCAATGAAATTGTAATAACCATCCTTCCTTGAAGGTGCCATTAATAAAATATCATCCAAGTAATTGACTGAGATCAACCCTCGAGAGCGTAGAAAACTCAGAATTGGTTTCATCAATTTTGTAAAAATATAGGAAGCAGAGGACAATCCGAAAGGAAGACAGTTGAACTCATAATTGGCCCTCGAAACAGAAACGTAGGTATTTTCGATGTTCTGTAGCTATTGAGACTAAAAAATAGGCATCTTTCAGGTCAGTTGATGCCATATAAAAATTTGGTCTAATTAGCCTTAGACCTGTTCTCAAATCTTCCATTTTAAAATGAGGAGCTCGGATAAATTTGTTCAATTTTTTAAGGTTTAAAATGAACCGACTGTCACTGTTGGATTTATCAATAAGGAAAAAAGACGATGTAAATTGATCTTTACGTGGCGTGCATGAAGATATCGCTCCATTCTTCATCAAATCTTTAATTCAAGTTGGTATTTTTGACTTATCCTGAATTGATAAATTGGGTTCTCTAGTTTTGTTAGATCGAGGTTTTACTCGAAATTATAATCGATAGCCTTGAATGATCGATAGCACAAAATTGTCATCAGTAATGGTTCTCCATTCATCCAAATAATATCGAAGCCTTCTTGCTGTAGCACCTACCTCTACCTCCTGTAATCCCGGCTGGATCTGCCCCTGGTCCCCCCTCCCGTTCGACGTGAACTCCCCTGGTAGTATGTCTGCTTCTGCGTCAGAGGTTTCCTGCCGGAGGGGGCATTCGAGTTTAAATGATTGTAGGGACCCTTTGATGTTGATGGAGGCAGCTCAGTTGTGGGCATATATAGTGATCTTGATCCAGAAGGGAAAGTTGAAATCCTCATCAATTTCTTCGCGGATCTCTCAACAGTTTGTGCTGCTTTAAGCCTCTCAGCAAAATCATCACCAAATAGAGAAGTGCCTACTTTGGTATTCTCTACAGCCTTCTTCACAATTGGTTGCAAACTGGAGGAGATAGAAGCTCGACGACAGAGCGATAAATAGTATTGAAGATCTGTGAGAAGATAACCTGCTTCATTCAGATTTGAAACCAATTTTTTCCAATCCTCATTAAGTTCTGTCTCTCTGTCCTTCTCTCCTGCTTCCAAGACAATAGTCAAAGCTGAACCAAGAGCTGCTAGAGCTGTTCTCAGCTGGTTTTGTGAAACACTATGGTTGCAGTCTTTCCTCAATGAAGTGGAATTGGAGATGGATTTTAATTCTGGATTGAGAGCAGGAGCCTTCATAGTCTTACAGTTTGCTGCAGGGGGGTGTTTCTTCATTAACTCCTTCCTAGCATCCTTGGGTAAGCCTTCAGACAGAATCTGAGACCATCTGGCCTCGAGAGCATTATGAATTTTTGGACCAAGTTCACCTTCCTTTGAAGGTAGGTTACCCAATAACTCGAGAGTAACAGGATCAATATTTTCTTCATCCTCATGTCGCTTGGATTTAGGTTTTTTCTTAGATGAAGAATGTGACTTGCCTGAATGAGTACTTCCACTGCAGTCTGACATAGAATCTGATCGTGATGATGACTGGTGGTGGATGAGCTAGTACTACTCTCGCGTGAGCCGTAACTCGGTGAAGAGCTGCTTGAGCTCGAAGAGGATCTCTTTGCTGTACTAGATCTGCCCTTGTGATGCGCCTTGCGCCTTGGTGATCTCGACTTTCGAGTACCAATGCATCTGTCTTTGTCTTTGGAATGATGTCTGGCTTCATGACGAACATCAATCTCAGCTTGCAAACGACGAATTTTCTTCAAGAAATCACTCTTCTTGCGCCTGGATACTTTTCTCTTCCTACTCGATCCCATCTTGATAAAATCTCATTAATGGAAAGCGATTGAAAAATTTCTTACGATGTGAACTAGACCGCACAGAAAAACATAATGACAGAAAGATAAGACTATCGGTTGAATATAGACCGGATTTTGTTTTATTTGAACTTTGAAATTCTGTGGCTAGACCTCATGGTGGAACATAACTACTCTTGATCTGGAGTACGAGACGGCGAAATATAATCGCCATTCTTTGCGATGAAAATTTTCATCGGCGGATTTAACTCAGTCACACTTGAGAAGACGTCGATATTAATGAGATGATCCGATGCTCCCGAGTCCCGTAAAAATGTTAGCTTGCCACTCCCGATGTTTTGGTATTCTTCAGTCATGAAAGCGAACCCCGATCTATTATTTTCCGCCGCCATCTGCGTCGTGTTAACAGTGTGAAGTATTCTATTTCGTTCAGCTCGATTTTGTTGACTCCTCTTATAGAAATAACAGTCCATTATTTTATGGCCTCTGCGTCCACATTGATGACATTTTACAGAAGATGAATGGTTCCCCCTTTGTTTGAATCCTCCCGAAAAACGTGAACCTTTGCCTCTTCTGTATGCGTCTCTATTATTTCGCCTGAATCCTCTTGAATTTTCATTTGAACGATTTTCACATCGAGTTTCTGTTATGACTTGAAGCACTTTACCACTTGTATCTTCACCGGCATTCTTTACTTTTATCTCATGATCCAAAAGCCTGTTCTTCACAAAGTCCAATGAAATTTGATCTCCTATCATTGTCTCGATTACTGTTGAGACAGTGTCATAAATAGTGGGAAGACTCATCAGCAAATATGACACCTTTTGCACATCAGACACACCAGCTGCCGCTAGTTCAGTAATTAACTTATCAAACACTTCAAAATGGTCTTTCAATGAATTTGATTTAATAATCCAACAAGAAGAAAATATACATATGGATTAAAATTTATTTTATTTATTTGAGTAGGTAGAAACATTGGAGGTTGAGAATTTACAAAAATAATACAATCCAGATTGTTTGAAAATCACATGGAATCATGGAACTCTGAAACATTTTAACTGTGTTTCATTGGGAATACATATGATATGATATAATATTTTATGCTACATTATTCAAGAATTAAGCGCTGCATAAATTGCCATCACTAATCAGCTGGAAATATTTTTCATGATCTTAATCTTTACGTTGATTCCACTTGAAATTGGAGATATAAATCGCATGTGGTATTTTTCACTGCTTATATTTCACTTATAGATTCGATCGCATTCCGAAGTTGGCGGTCAAAGGGTTTTTTCTTTCCAGTGCCTTGATTTTTCATTATTTTGAAAGGATGAGGTTGCCGAAAGACGCCATGGCCTGCTGATTGACACCCCAATCTTCCTTTTTTCATGAGATTCTGGAGAAAAAAGTCTTTATTAAGATATTGAGGGCATAGTCCGTAGTTTTCCGAGTTTTCTATGGCTTAACTAGCCGGATATAGTATCAGTGAGAAGTGAAGAAAACTATAATTTCAATATTTTCAACTCGCTTTCGAGCAGCAAATCAACGTACTCTTGATTTTTTCTAGATGTTTTTTAGAGGAAGAAGAAAATAAAATCCGAGAACAAAAGGAATCGTCGCCTTCGAAGACACAGAACGACTAAAATTTCAACTCGGGTTACGATGGATACAAAACGCAAAAATGAAAACAATGAAAAGGTAATCGGCCTTGCCAAATGTTATTGATACTAGTAAATTTGTTTTCCAAGATACATTTTTGATAATAAGAAGACTGCTCCAAGGCGGCCCTCATTTCATATTCATCTGGATCCAACAGCCAATTATATTATGGGTGCACTCACTATACTCTCACCCATTACTTGATAGTGCCAAACATTTTCTACGCACCTATACTTATGAACAAATATTGGAGTAAATTCATTACGTTGATTCCTTCAGTGGAAGGAATGAATAAACGCAGCAAAGAACCGAATTATGTAGCTATATATCCAGGTCTATCGGAGAATTGTGTCCAGTTGCTAGGCCGCTTCAGTTTTATAACCACTGTTACTAGTCTCCACAGACCTTTCCCGATCGACAAATATTTCCTTCACCCCATGGTTTTCGTTCGTATGTTTCTTACCAAAAAAAATTTCTCGAGAACCATAAAAGGAGATTCAAAAAAGAGACTAAAAATAAATCCTCCAAAGGTACATATCACAAAGTCTCCAGAAAACAGATAAAGTTGCTGGAAATCGCTGAAATACTTTGGTGTTCTAATATTACCAATTTTCATGGTTAGAATTATAAAATGTACTAGATAAATAGAGTAAGATATTCTGCCAAAAGGAATGAATATGGGTAGTGATAGAAGTTTGCTGAGGGCACCTCCGTAACCCAGTACAGATGCATAGATTATCCAGCAAATACTGAAGGCCCAGATGTGTCGTGCGAAAGCAGCATAGAACACCTCCCATGGTGCATTCCACTCATATTCAGGAGTTTGAAAAACTCGATATGTAAAAAATGTGAATGCAAACATTAAAATAGTTAGAATCCAACCGCAGTACATGAACTTTCTCACAGGTGGAATCTGTTTCTTTGAGAGGACGTAACCAAGGATGACGCCCAATAGCCACGGACCAGCTCTTGTGTAACTTGTTACGTAAAAATAAGTCATAGCGTCTTGAAATTTTCGTAAACTGCAAAAAAAAGTTCCAAATATAATTCCTGTTGCAAAAGTAATTATAGAGTAAAAATTGAATATATATTGATTAATTCCATGTCGAAACCGAAATAGGAAAAACTGTCAGTAATAGAAGACACGGAGAAAAAAATTCCAGAATTTTTTTGGAGAAATTTAGGCAAAAATTACCGTGCCGTCTGGTAAAGTGGGTTCTATTGTCTAGCACCAGAAAACTTCCGGTGTTGCATAGTAAAAATTCCGGTACCGCACAATAACAGCTTGATCCCTGACTGTTTTCTATTACATGATAAATTCCATTCAATAGTTAAAAATGAGTAAACATTGTCATTTAGCATATCATCATATTAATTTTTTTTTACCTCTCCTCCATATCCTCTCTCCCCTATTAAAACCGGAATGCGCGGCAAACACCTCATGGAGAGAAAATAAAGGCACTCATTTTATTTCTTAACCGTTTTATCACAACATTAATTAATATTTCACTGAATTGATATAATGAAAAACATCGACCGGGGGTTTTAGTGGGGAGGTATGTGTGAGAGGAGGCTATAGGAGGTGACGGAATAAATCATTTGGTCACGTTGAGTTGATGTTCGCGGTTGCGAAGGAGAACAAAGGGTGCCGAAATCTTACGAATGCGCAATCGGGTCCCAGGATTCTGGTGAAGCACCGGAAATATTTGCTAGCCCGTGTCATAATTTTTCTCGTATTTCTCGTAAAACACAAGGTTTTTTCCCCGCATTTATCCGAAAAAATGATTCGTGCAACATTACTTTTTCCTACTCTTTGCGGTACATTCCGCCTGGAAACACCATCCAAACCCACTTTACTGTGCGAGCACGATAATTTTTCTCGTACTTTTCTCTCCATGTGATGGTCGTGTGTCATGACAAATGATCAGAATTTACTTGGAGAAAATCGAAATTTTCTAAAATTCGTAGCTTAGTGAAGAACAATTTAATCGATCTCAAAATCTAGAAATAAGTTTTTCTTATATAGTTCTCCTCAGAAAAAAAATCACGAATGATTTCGGATTTGACGTGGAATTGCTATATATTTGTTGTGATTGATACATACTTTGAAAACATAAATAGAGCTCCGGAGAATTTGTTTTCTGCTGCTACAACAGCCGGTGTAATAACCGATGCGATCACAAATGCAAGAAGAATGGCCATACCCAGTTTAGGTTTTTTAGCCATCGGATATAAAATCAAAGGAGATATCCAGAATAATTGCATATCCACAGCTAAGTACCACGTGTGAGGGAGACACCACTTGAAGAACGAAATAAATGGTTTTATAATGCATCTTCGCTATTTTCAAATGTCTAACTCTATCGTTAAAAATTTCATATTTTATCACAGTGAGTAAAGTGCAAAAAAATGGACCCTCACACTGGTGGAAGCGAAGTCAATTAACATAACCCCACACGGACGGGGTCCTTTTGTTTCCAAGTGTGGAATACGCTCGACACAGAGAGAAAAAAAATGGATTAGCTTTAGAAAAAAGTTTCTAAATTTTAGAAACCGTTGTTTCTAACCTTGAGGTTTCTAAAATCTAGAAACTTTTTTCTAAGTTTGGAATTTTTTTTTTAATTAATGATCAAAATTGGGATTCATTTTAAACCAAAATATACTCAATTTTAGAAAAAATATAATCCAAAATTTTAAAAAAAATTTCAATTTTTGAGGGGGAATGTTGCATAAATGGAGTAGCGATTTCCACCTTCCCCCCCCCCCCCCCGACTTTTTTTCTGTTTGGATGACTAGAATGGAATCACCTCTAATCAATGGAAAGTTATGAAACCGATATGTAATTGAAACTACAATATTCTTTTTTTCGTTGTTATTTGTTTGGTTGAGTTAAATTCCATAGTTTTGGAAATAATCTTTTTTAAAGCGAGTCATTCATATTTTCATGGGTAGATGCATGGCATCGACCCCGTACATGAGGGGTTAACCTATGGTCCAGTTTCAATATTCGACTGAATTACTGCTCACATGAAGACTGCAATCTTTATGGAAAGAGATCCATTTACCGTACTTTCCTCAGCTGTTACGAAAAATATAATGAAAGTATGTATACCATATAATCGGTATTAACATAATTATGGACATAAAGTAGCATTGGCCACCAATTTTTCGAGCACAAGTGCTTTTGCGAAACGACATTTGATTCCCACAGAGCACCCGATCCTATTCGTGGAAAAACGTAAATTGTCAACAGCAAAAGTGCACCTAGAGCTGGAGTAAGTCTGTCAACAAAGACGTACAATGTTATTTCTTATCATCAACTCTCATCTCTTAATGATTTACCTAATGTATCTGTGAACGTAATACATTATGACGTTGAATTTCCGACCCCTGGAAATTTCTTTGAGAAAGAGATAAGACGTTAGAAAACCACTGACTACAAAAAAAGTGTCTACTGAAAAGGGCGCAATGAGGATGTATAAAGCTCGCCAAGAAGAAATCCACTGAAAATAAAACAGATTTCACAATAGAAGTAAAAAACCAATGTAAATGATAAATTGGAGCCAAAAGCAATAAAATTTTACCTCTCCGATATTAACCATATTTATCACAGCTCCCATGGGAAGAATCACATATTCATGCCCGAGTATTACCCAGCACATACTGAAAAAACGTATTCCCTGAATCGCTGGCAGTGTTCCTTGCGGAACTGTAGTATCAAGTACACGTTTGCCATTAGTGTATAACGAAAATTTCGATAATTCTTTGAATATATTATGCTTGAAGAGACTAGATCCATTGACTCCGAGAAGAATATCGCAAATCGTACAGAGAATTAAAAATCCCGCAAAAATTGTCACTATCGATCTGGAATGAAAATTATCCTTTCAATGGTTGCATGGTAAATAGTGGGACAAAACAAATTATTTCAGTCATTCATAAGAATCAATGTTGGAAACAAAATTGAATTGCTAATAATTTTAGAAGACCTTTCTAGTCTTTGAAATGAGATTGGAATCGTTGGAATCAAATCGCGAATTCGGGAGATGTAAAACATTTGCCACTTGATTTGATCAAGTGAAAGAAGCAATTAGAATCACGTTGGACTGTATCATACCAGCGGTTGGCTTACTTCATGTCTTGTTTGGCCGTGTGAATTAAATCTCTCTAGGAGAGATGCATCCCGACACATCGACTTGATTCAAGTGAACTCTTTCAATTAATTCAAATCGATTCTTCGACTTGATGCAAGTTGATCCTTTGACTTGAATCAACTCCATTCTTCTACTTGATTCAAATCGATTCTTCTACTTGATTCAAGTTGAAGATTAGACTTGAATCACGTCAATTCTTCGAAATTCGTTTGTTCGGATTGCATTCATCTGTTCATTCAGCTTGAATCAATCCGTTTCAATCAAGTCGATGTTGACTCCAGACATTTCTTTCTAAAATAATCCATTTTTCTACTCATGTCACCTGCGCAATCTGGATTGATGGAATCCATGTCACTCGAATTAAAATAGATAAAAAATGGACTAGACATGAATCAGTCCTTCTGTTTTAGATTTTTACATTGCAATGATGTCACCAATCTCCCACGGTGCAGGATCTACCGAAGAGCATCTTGCTGATTTCAGCTCAAGTTCAAAATCATGATAATTCGATGCAGTATCCATAGCTTGCTGTACTATCTGATCCACATGCTCGCTATCGCATGCAGCAGGTAAGCAAATTGACATGGTGTGACGAAGTGATACGGTTGTATTTGGAACTCTAACAGATAATGAGTACATGCAGTGACGTCCCCGGATGAATTCATCCTCTCTTGTGACTTCGACCGAAACACATTCATCATAGAAACCCAGATCTTTCATATTTCCGATCAGATTTCCAGACGGGATTTTCGAAGAGGAATCCAACACTATGTGCAATAATTGTCATTAATAATCATCAAATAGTGATTAATCGAAATGTGAATCACATGACAACTCTTGTTTGAATCATCGATTATGAAATATCAAGGTCCTATTGAGCAATTCCACGTCGAATCCGAAATGAAAAAATTGTCATAGTTCCGATTGTCTTGCCGATTTTTTTTTGAGAAGTACATGACCAAGCTCATAAAATTTTTAGAGCGATTTGGTTTTTTTCAACGAGTTCTGACTTTTCACAAAATTTTTCTTTCGCTACTTCAAAGCTACTGAGCGTTTGAATGTTCCACCCATCCCATCGTAGGGGCCTTTACCATGATAAAAAACAAAGCATCGCTATCAAATTCAACCATGATGATATCACATTAGAAATTTTCTTTTCGTGTCATGGGACCTGAAAATTAATATACACACCTCGCCATGGACACCTCGCCTTCGGCTCGGAAGGCAATCTTGCACGTGGGGGACGGTGATCTTTTTTCCAAGGTTCGGGCATGTAATGTATTATTTCAGAACAATTAAGTTTTTCTCAAGGCTTCAAAGCTTTTCTCCCAAAGCTAGTTTGCTTTTCGCTCTCGTTTAATAATATCCGTTCACTCAACTCCTATTCTTTAAATCTGAATTCTGTTCATAATTACAGTTATCACAACGGGTTAGCAGTAATCACAAATGATCTAATTTATGAATTTTTCCACGAAATTTTCTGAAGAACAAAAATCATGAATCTAACAATGAACAAATGCAAAAAAAATTATGTTCTTCAGTGTAAATGTTGACAATTATGTTACCAAATTACTCCTAAAATGTCAGATCAAAAAAACAATGAAGTTTTCGAGTAATTGCAGATTAAAAAGAATCATTTTCCGATGACGCCTCTAAAAACGGAACAAATTGAGTTGAATTGCGCTCATTTTGAAACTTTTTTAATTACCTTAAACTGTGTGAAAATGAAAATTCGATTCCTAATGATTAAATTCAATTATTTATTATTTATTTATTGCCTTGATCTCAAGAAATCAAAATTTAAGTGGAAAAAGTGGAATTTTTTGAAAAATCATAACTTGTTGGAAAAAAATCGAATCGCTCTGAAAATTTGATGAGAGCTTAGTCATATGTACTTCTTCTCAGTAAGAATCGTAAAGCCAATCGGAAACATGAAATTTTTTTCATTTCGAATTTTACGTGGAATTACTGTATTATTACGAAAATTATTAAAAATAATAAATCAATTCGTACTTTTTAGAGCCCACAGTTCAGAAGTCGTCAGTCCATTGACAAATATCGAAAATTGCGTATCACATTTTGTGTCATTCACGATCCATTGTTGGAGTGTACGATTAAAATCTCTCTTTGCATTGACCGTAATTATATTCTCCGGTTGCAATTCACGAATCACATTAACAAAATTCACTGAAACATTATTCGTCTCATTGTTCCATTGCAATTGTTCAATAACTTGAGCAAACACCTCATTAATGTCATAATTTCCTTGTAATTGGCATTGAATTGATACAATAATTAATAGTTGAATCAATAGAATAAAACCCGATCGATGCATTACCATCGGCAAGTGAAACTTTATCACGAATGCGTCTGTGAACACGACGCGATCATTATTTCGTTATTCGTAGTTTACAGATGGAAAAATTATAGATAACAATATACCTAGCATCATAGAGTTTATTCAAGAATCAGATGTTGAGTAATTGCATTCCACGAAAAACCTCTACATCACTCGTAGGAATTGATTACCAACTTCGATTCATCTTATGGATAAATTAATTAATGAGTATAAATTACTAAATTACCATTGGAGATAACCATAAATGCCGTGCATATATGGGAGGGAGGGCATAAGGGGTTTAATAAAGTGAATCCACCAATTCTGCATCTAAAAAGTGTCTTGAAATTTTTAACGTTTTTCTTTCTATATTTTATATTATTATCATTGCATTTTCCAGTTCTTAATTTTCGTCATTTATTCTATTTATTCTATCGAGAGACAATAATAGAAATCGAATTTATGGGTTCAACCTGATCAGCCGTGGCATTTAACCCTAGATTGGTCACCCTATGAGGGATTCCCCATCTTTTTCCGTATTTTTTTTTATGAGTAAACGATAGTTCGGAAAATCCTGAAAAAATCGATTTTGTCAATCGGAATGTCTAGGATTTAATAGTATTTTTGTCACTTCTATCAATTCAATAATTAGTCTTAGAGAGAATAATAAGGAGAGAGAACCCACAAAAGCGGGGATGTCTTCAAAATGAGATTAGAGTGATTAGAATCACGAAGCGAGGTTAGAATTGCGGTTTATCGGGCCTAATGACATAAACGTATATTTTAGTTCTTTCCAAGGCTTGACTCAAGTAAGGGCTTGCCGTTATTCATAGAATTTACTGAGAACATAGGTAACTTTCAAGTGGTACCCTTCTCCTCGATAGATGGTGCTGCTGGGGAGATTTCGACTAGTTGTAAGTGTACACACATATTCATTCAAAGTATACGTAAGGCAATCACCGAAGGATTAAGCCTCCGCAAGACCTAATATACATGTTGTTTTCTCCTATTGGGTGCAAAACGATTTTATTCACTTCAATTCTCATCATCCTAAGACTTATTATTAGGTGTATGACTTAATTTTTACAGATTTTTTCTTCGAGCTTAAAATTATATTTAAAATAGGAATATTTTCGCGGTCTTTTGTGGTTTTGAAAGGATCGGACAGCCCCCTGACACTCACTCTCATTCCCATATAGCAACAACGTCATCGCTATTGAGGCGCCCGCATGCGGCGCTGACTGTTCTGTGGTTTGCGCCAGCCCCCTGACATTCGATGAAACTACAGTCGACGCTAATGAGGCTGCCGCTGTGGCGCTGGCTGTACTGTCGTTTGACCCGTTCGTTCGCGCCAGTCCATACGCCGTTTGAACACCCATATGCCACTGTCGTTGATTCACAGAGGCGATGGTACAGATAAACGAGTAACATCTCCTCTGTGGTCTATTTAATAAGAATAAGGGAAGATTTTGGGAAGGGGTGAATGATCAAATGAAAGGAGAGTGTTCTCATTATAATAAAATTTATTCAAACATAAATATGAAGGATACAAAAACGTTCAGGTTTTCATTAGCTTTGCCATTTTTCTCTTCTCCTGATTCAGTTTTTTCTGCTCGGCGTTAAAGCGTACGCAAAATTCTCGCATGCGTGTCGAGATGAACAAATGGATTGTTTGATAAAGAATATCTGTCGCATGCTCTTTGCAAGCAAAAGAGAAATTAGGATATTGATAGACATCTTCAAGAATATCGTCAAATAAATAGGGGGAATTGGAATGATGGATGAATCGCTCTTCGAGAAATAGTATGAAATGATACATTTGCTTGTTAGGGTGTAGAAGAGGACCTTTCATTAGGACGTCAGAAAAATGTGATTCTGGGATAGGTCTGTGGTCAGGCTGTAAAAGTGCCTTTTTACAGTTGGGACACCCAGCATTGTTCATCACTCGCTTGATAATATTACCAGTCATGAGATACATCATGCAATTTGAAATCTCTGGTTGAGCATAATCATGGTCAAAAATGTCCTCCAACTCCATTTCACCATCTCCAACTATTTTATCTAGTTTATCCTTTACCGCTCGGGTGAGTTCAGAGTCAGGGTTTTTTTTGTAAATAGTTTTTAGTTCAGAAAGTGTGATAAGAGGTTCACATAGTTTATCAGTCGCTCTTACTGTACAGTTTCCTGTTTTAGGAGGTTTTAGTACACTGTAGGTAGTTAGAACTTTGTATATTTGTAGGAAATTAGGAGTAGTTGGATGGTCATTACTCCCCCCTGCTTGACGAACAGAGCCAAAAAATTTCTGGAGAAGGAAAAAAAAATGAAGAAACAAACAAACATGTCATATTAAAGAGTGTAAATCAGTCTGTGAATCAGGGTGAAGCAGTCATCAAATCATAATTAATATGTAGAAAAGTGATACACGTGGAAAATATTAGTTTCTGTGTCATAATGCCACAGAGCAGAGGCAGAGAGATATCAAGCAAAAGCTCAGAAAGTCACAAGGATAGCAAACCAAATCACACAAATCGTAGCTCTTCAAACCTCAAGACAATCCTGATTTATTCTTCCCGTAAGAACATATGGAAATCCACACTCTTTGGTGAGATATTCAACTAACTCTAGAGTTGATTTCAGTGTTACACGTAGTCCTTCTGCTGTCTGTCTGGTCAGAAATAAATCCCTTGGAATACGTCCTTCATCAACATATTCCTCCCATTTGTTCAATTTATTTAAAGCCTCTTCAATCACCTGTACAAATGAACAATCCAATGAATTTCAAAATTCTCTCATTTATTCAATTTCATTAAAATATTCTTCTACCTTGTAGTCCACATTCCCAGGTTCTACGCCATTCATGTCTTCTGTTCGATTGAGGGCATCGAACATGTTATTAATAAATCTACAAAATTCTGCAGTCTCGCCACAGTCTTTCAAATCATCGACTCGATCACGGAAAATATCCAGGCCATGAGCAACTGAATTGCTGAAAACCTGGAGGACAAAAGTCTTTAAAATTCGGACGACAATGTCGAGGTTATAACAAGACGAAATTACTTATACAATAATCAATGGATTGAGATCAACGAATGTTCAATTAAGGATCCTTCCATGCAGGAAACTTCTCACGACTGTTTTAGTATTTCTCACTGTCTCCGTATGACAATCAGTATTACTCGTACCTGAGTAGCCAATCTCACCCTCATCTTCGATGAATTGTTCAGCTCAAGGTGATTGATTGACAATCGAGGGCATACAAGTTTCCCCAAACCAGCGAATTCTTTATCTACTTTATGTAATGTCTCGAAGTGTTTCCATTGTATTAGTGGCTCATCAGGAGCTAACTATAGAGTGGAGAACATTATTCGATCATTATTATCATTATTGAGCAAGGGAAAAATCACCAATACATCACTGATTCTTCACTTACCTGTAACGTTTTTTTGTTGAATAAACGATTACGAATCGTGTTGAGCAGGTGAGGCGTATCAGAGAAAATCCATATTCGTCTATTTTCGTCCAGAGGATGTTCAAACGAGTTTACCAGCGACTCTCTTTTTCCACAGACATCATTTTCTCCCCAAAACGCTCTATTTGTGGCAGCCCCATCAGTCACAACACCGTGAACTTTTGCTTCAGCATTTTCGAGCAGGCTTATCGATTTTATGATGAGCTGATCCAGCACTGTACCTACCACTGGACCATGTGAAGCAAAAACAGCTATGGGTTGGGCATAAGATTCTGTCAACGACTGGAACATGATGACGAGGGCCCGATCGGCTCTCTTATCGAAATTAACAGTATTCTCACCACTTTCACCAAAATCAGCCAAGCCAGTAAATGTCACGTTCTTGGTATTGACATCAATGCTCTCTCTCGTGTGCACTTCATCCAGAAGAAGAATACCGTGCTTGTCTTTATCGTCTTTCTTTTCTAGTGCCAACTTGAAAACCTCGAAAAACTTAGGATCAAATCCACATGATGCAGTTATCTCGGAGAGATATCTTCGGATTGTGCGGATGCTAGGAATCGGTAATACGTTGTGTTTGCATATGAATCCATACCCCGATGGAGAACGCATGTGGAATAACATGCACAACAGAATCCATTCCTCGCTATACCTCCTACCTTTTGAACTCTTCCTTTTCGCATCACTTAGGATTTCTTTCAACGCAGTGGCTTCATTCTTCGATAACCGACCCTTCTCTTCATATGATGCAATATCAGAATTGCAATAACGTTGTAATCTCTGGAAACACACATCAAATTCCTTCTTATAATAATCGACTTTTTCATTTGCTCGCGTTGCAGCCTTTCTCGAAGAATTTAATTTGGTTTTTAATTTGGATAATGCCATTTTCTTATTCGGGGAAAGAATAATTCGAATTCGTTTCATATTCCCACGGTTATGAGCACGTCTATTTCTCTGGGTGACTGTTTTTTTAATTCTTTGACAGACCTTGCACTTATTATAAGCAGTGACACCCTCAGGCATTAATAAAGGACATCGGTTATGGCGCCATATCCCTCTGACATCAATGTGGACAAGATCGCAATTAGTTTGTTTCAACTCGCTTTGAAGTTGACATCCTGAGCAGACCTGGAGCTCATTTAGTGTTGAGATCAACTGTTCCAATTGTTCAACTCTCCTGATCGGATTGAATTTTCGGAGGATTGAATCTCCCATCACTTTGGAGCAACTGTCCCAAGCAGCTCTCAAACTTCCTCCCCGGTGGGCAAAAGAAATTTCAACCAACGGCACCAGGACCTGCTTACACTTTTTCGAAACAAGAGAAATTCAAGCTGACATTGATATTAAATTGATTGTGTGGAAGCAAATAACCTTCAGCGAAGATCTGATTCCACAAATTCATGTATTAAATGAGCCTGTGAAACCCTCAGTTAACCGTGAGATTTTTCAACCGATCAGGAGAGTTGAACAATTGGAACAGTTGATCTCAACACTGAATGAGCTCCAGGTCTGCTCAGGATGTCAACTT